TATTTATTTTTAGACAATTTAAGTTGATCGCGATTCGCGAAAACGTTTTCAAACAAAATTATTAAAAACGAGGCTCTCCACGAAACCATAACTGTCAGGCTAAAATAGCGGAGCCCAAGAAAACTTTTATTTATTGGTTCTGAGCATTGTTTATTGCTTTTGCAGAAAAAAATCATGGGTATGCAATTTCGGGTTTGAAGGACCAATTTTTCAATTTAAGTAAAATAGTTTGATCGGAATTTATTGAAATATCTATTTTTGGTTTAAATGTTTTATTTAAAACCACAAAATATTGCCAAATTGTGATAAGATTCTGGAATCCTGATCCTATCTATACCTAAGTTTATCTTCCATTTAAATTTCGTGGTAACAAACCACCTATCAGTGCGCGCCTCGTCTTCAAAATCATTGCTTTCCCACCTTAAGGTAGTAGGTACCTACTGCTATTCTTCTTTTCAAGGTCACGTTATCAATTAAGATCCTAAAAATAATCCAGCTTTTCAACTATAGTGACTTTATACAGGGTTCTTGACTGTATAGTCAGAGAGCCAGCGCCAAAAAAGTGCAAGAGTTTCATGAAAGCTGAAAATTTAATATCAGCTTGTATTTATTATGTATATAACTATCCTCGAGTCAGCAAGTGAGGTAGCGGGACAAGCCACGCCGCCCACGCACCTTCGAATGTGTTAAAAATTAATCGCGATGAAAGAGTTTCATGAAAGCTGAAAATCTGTCAATCCATTGTTTATTTAATGAAAAACACGACGAACATGGTCAGATACCATTATGTTGGGACAACTAGAGTCAGCATGGCTATATTCCGGTCGTATAACAGAGGTAAGTGAAACTGTTTCATGATGGTTTAAATTTGGTATGTCATTATTTATTTCAATACTATAGTTCATACCAAATAAACTTATAGTCGGGTTGTCAAGCTCGGCCGGCACAGCGTTGCCGTCTCTTCCATATTTTCCTTTGGTCAAAATATTTTCAGAAACAATAATGGATTGTATTATAATATAATGCAAACATTTATTACTTAAATTATAAACATTGCTTCAAAGCTTGGTTTTATAGATATTTAATAACAACTCAATTTTCAATCATCACATAAAATATAATAATAACGCTCAGTACCTATTTTATTTACAGCGACTCTAAATACTATAAATATCTTATTAAATATTATGAATATTTGATCCATCAAGAAGATTTTCAATTATTCTGGATCCCTGAAATCGCTGAAATCGCTAGAGTCTTCATCAATATTGATAAGTGAAAGGATGTATGCTATTGAAGTGGAAGAGCGTATGCCATATGAGCATTGTCTATAACAATGACAGATGGTTCACTCAAGTTCTTCAACAGCTGATTTTCGAACCAACATAAAAAGTTTTGCTGATTAATTTCTTCATGATAGTCGTTAAGTTGAGTTTTCGATGAATATACAAGCGATGTACCTTCAATGAATCCATTTTCAGTGCCAGCATGAAGTAGGTATGATATATCTAGAAAAAGCATTTCTTTGTACATATAATACACTGCTCTCTGTATTCATGTTTAAATTTACCTATACCATCAACTTTGGTAGTTTTAACACTTCGCTTGTTGTTGTCTTCCCACGGTTAATAGTACCATTTTGAAAAATCCAAGTCTCGTTCAAGAAAACAAACTGGTACAAAGCCTCCTGTTTCAGTCTTAGATAAGACCTTAAAAATGATATGCGTTTAACAGCAATATCAGAGACTTTATTCTTGAAACCGAGGAACAGCGTTCTCATGAGAACGATTGCTTTGTCATTGTCAGTGTTATGGAAATATGAATACGGACGACGAAGACAGAGCCTTAGTTCTCATGAGAACGCTGCTCCCCTGTTTCGAGAATAAAGTCCCAGGAAGTTCCATGAGCCCTCGTCTTGGGTCATCTTTTTTCCATTTGAAGCCTATTTCTTTTAAGATTCTACTCAATGGCATGCTACTGCCATCAAATAATTGTTTGTCTTTCAATTGCTCCCATATACAGGATAATGTTACATGTTGTTCTACAAGAAAAAAAAAAGGCGATTCATAGATATCTATATGTACCTTTGTCTCAAACGATTTACTTTTTATACACATATCGTAAATAGTGTTATGTATAGCACTGCTATCGAGCTTTGAAACATCACAGACTCTCTTATTCGAAGTGCATCGTTTCTTAGAAGGCGATTCCAAATCTTCATTATTTTTTACTGCCTTCGAAATAGCACAGACAGTGGACATACTTAAGTTCAAAGCCTCTGCTACTCGCTAAAAATGAGAGAAAGTTCAAATTAAAAATTCGTATTTGGTCACACGACATCAACGACTTATAAACTCACCTTCCTAACAGCATTTAAGGGACATTAAGGGCCATTATTATCGCGTTCTCGTTCGAAATATTGTAAAAAGGATGCGATTAGTTCTTTGCAACGGCTGTTAAGCTGCTTCGGCATCTTGTACACTTCGCACTACAAGCTGATTTCAAAAAACAAGGTCACAATTAACAGCACAAACCAAAAACTCGTAAACTGCCAAAATGCAATCAAAATGTCAAGAATTTAATTTGGCAACGTTACATTTTTTGACATGGTCTTACCAACTGAATGGCTAGCGGGAAATTCAAATTCCAATTAAGTCAATCCGACGCCGAATATTTTCACGGTTGGCGATATCGATTTTAAAAATGGCGTCATCAATGTCACAACAACAAGTTTATTTGGTATGAACTATATAATCGAAAATAACAGCAGTGCCGTATTTCCCTATACGCCAACTACGCACGGGCGTAGGGCGGCAAAATTGGAGAGGCGGCAAATTTCAAAAAATTATCAAAAACTGCATGAGGAAAATAAGGATATAGTTATTTTCCTAACAAGTGCGCAAAGTGTTACTTTTCCGCACGCAAACACAGTTATACGAACGACGCGAAGCGGAGTTCGGATAAGTGTTTGCGTGCGGAAAAGACACTTTGCGCACGTGTTAGGAACAAAATTTTTCCTACGAGCTTCATATCAAGTAGGTAACAACAAAAATTAAAAAAAAAAAACGATAATTTGTTCAATTATTTTTAATTAACTTGGAGCGAACCTACGCATTTATCAAAAAATTACGTAACAAAAAAAAATAAATTAAAAAATCCTCGTCAGAGCTGTTCATCTTAAAGCGTTTAAATTTGATGAGAAAGTTTGTAGATTCTTGCATATAAATAGAGAACAAATCTAACAATATGTCAAAGTTAATTATATTCGGTGTTCGTATAGATGTAGGCTGATAAAGAAACAGAGAAAAACTTGTCATCATATGTCAAAGTCGACAGGTACACTTATTGTTGCTTGACAATTATTTTTACTTTTCGGCACTCAGTGCGGATAAGGCCTGTATCCGCACTGAGTGCGGAAAAGTGTAACTTTGAGTACTGAAATGCGTGCGGAAAAGTACTACTTTGCGCACGCTCGTAGGAAAAAGAATTTTTTACAGTTGGGCTGCGTTCGAAAACCTGGTTGCTAATGTGTTGGTGTGTTGGCAAGGGCAAGGAGTGCACGCCCCACCCTGCTCGGATTGTCGGTGTCGCACTTCGCAGTCCTCGGCCTCGCACCACATACCAAGACCTAGATATGGAACGCGATGGAATCGTCAATTGACCTTTGCAATTTAAAAGCCTCTCTCTCTGGCATCAAACTGTCAGACGTCAAAAGAGCATGAAAACAATGGTTGACAGCCGTTGACAGTGGTTTGTAGACAAGACTTTTGAAAGAATCTATTATTTCCTCGGTTTCTTCAAGGTTTTTACCGAACAATGGTGATTGTGTGTAGTGTGCCTATTCATAAAAATAATTCCTATTCACTGGCGGACGTGTCTTTCCATAGGTTTCCATCAAATCCTACATTTGTCAAAATTTGGATATACAAAATCAAAAAGGATACCCGCAAAAGAAGGGAAATCCACGGCCCATCAAGTATACAAAGTAATCCACGTCCAAGTTTAGTTAGCAGAAGCTGTTTGCCTCCAAAATAACCCACCACCGTCTCCAAAGCGAAGTTCTGCGAATGAAGCAGTGACTTTTCCCACATTTTCTTTCCAATTTCAAACCCTGCGTTTTATTCATATCAAATTTTACTGATGGATTCATCATTCTATGTCGGTCATTGTCATTTTCCATTCACTTAACAAAGATAGCTAACTCATTGGTGAAGTCACCGATTCGAATGAAAACGAGGGGATTGCCAAACACCCAATACACATTGACATTGACAAGCAAGCAAATGTTGGCGGGAAAATGAATGTTTTCATCTTTTCATACTTATCGTCCATCTCTTTTAATTGAAAACGTCAATTGTCAAAGGACGTTTTGTTTTGTGCTTTTTATTTTACTAAATATAAGGTGAGTTCAGCTTGGCAAAACGGAGTTGGAGCGGATAAAGAGCAGTTTCATTACGTGATCACAGATTGAAAAGAGTATAGGGCGTTTGCGCAAAGATGTTCAAGCACAAAGAACGAGATTATCCCCATCACAAACCAGAACATGTGTTTTTGCGGATATTTTGGGGAGCGATGCCATTTTCTCCACTAGGGGCCCCAAGAGGCAACCAAGACCGTACCCAAATGATGAGGAGCTTGCACTATTTGCTCCAAGTGACGTGACCCGAATGATTTTGCAGTGAAAAGGGTCAGAGGAGTCAAAAGAGTTGCCAAGCCCATAATTTGAAAAAAAAAAAAAAATCAGCTACGTTTGGAGCTTATTTGGTTCCACCGCCGCTACACCGCCCTTAAGAATTTATTCTTGCTACGCGACGCGTAGCGGAATTTCGCTATGGTTGGCAACAACACTTATGCGAACATGACATACGCAGTCTGTACTCTTTATTGTACGCGCCAAATTGCTTGGAGCAACTATTCATAAAATATAGAATATAGGCACTATATTTTTATATCATAATCGTCTTTTGTATGTTATGTAGTTGTCTAAAGTGACGAATACTATGAGTGACGGCCGCAAACGATTGAGTGGAGCCAAGTATAAGGCACTCGCTGAGGAAAAGCGGAGGAAGCTTCATTCAGTTTTGGACAAAACACGAAACTTAAAAGACTATTTTTTAATTAAACCTACAAATTCCAGAGAGCATACACATGATTCGGAAACAGATGTTGTTACTGCTGTAGCTGTAACGCCTGTACCTACAACACCTGATAACGAGGATGAGATGGAAACAGAGACAAGTAAGTACCTATAGCTTTTTATTCAATGTCAACAACTATATTTATTTTCTTTACTCTTTGAACTTTGAACATTTCTCTGACAAATTTTTAATTTTTTTCCATTTTCGACACTTCTTCGTTGTGAAGTAGCATATAGGTATTGATTATTGTTCTAGGGTAACAAATTGAAACAGAATCATCTGCATGTGCATCCGCTTCATTAAATCCCCAATGTTTACCAGCGGTTATCAGTAACGACCCCGCCGAATGGAAGATCAACGATGCCACTATCGACTATTTTTCGTCCTTACCAAATGAAATATGCCAAAATACAGATGAGGATTTTTCACTTACAAAAATTGTTACTGGTAATAGGACACGGTATCTTACTAAGAATGTTTTCCGTCGGAAACTTGCCAATGGGGAAGAACAACCATGTAAATATTTAATATATTCATCTTCAAAGAAGTCGCTATTTTGCATCCCATGTCGTCTTTTCGGAGGAAATTCAAAAATGGCCACTGATGGCATAAATGATTGGAGTAATGTAAATAAAATTTTGAATTCACATGAAAACTCCCAAGAACACGCCAAATGTCAAGTAATCTTATTACGACGTGAACAAAAACAAAACCAACTTGATTCATTTCTGTGTCAGCAAATAAGGCGCGAAGAAGATTACTGGCGGAACGTGTTGAAGCGGGTAGCTGCAGTGACTAAAAAATTGGCTTGCAGAGGTCTACCGTTCAGAGGAACAGTTGAAAAATTCGGTAATCCAAACAACGGAAATTTCATGATGTGTCTGGAGCTCTTATCGGAATTTAATCCTTTCTTAGCCACGCATAATGATATAACTCAGCACGGATAATGATATAACTCAGCACGGAAATCTGGGAAGTGGTAAAACGTCATACCTCTCATCTACAATATGTGAAGAATTTATCGACCTAATGACGACAGACGTTCTAAATCACATTATTTCCGGTGGGACATGGGTCTGAAGAAATGGGAAATGCTATAATTTCTAAATTGGAGAAGCACAATTTGGAATTGAAACATTGTCAAGGACAGTCCTACGACAACGCCAGTATTATGTCCGGCTGTTACAGTGGTTTACAAACAAGGATTTTAAATCGTAACCCACTCTCAGATTACCTACCGTGTGCCGCCCATTCATTAAATTTGGTTGGCGTCTGCGCTGCCGAATGTGCTAGAGAGGCTGTAAGATTTTTTGAAACGGTGCAGAACCTATATACTTATTTCTCGGCATCTACTCGTCGTTGGGAAATTCTACTGTCCAATTTAAGAGCTGGAGCCAAAGTTCCAAAACGGGTCGATGGAACAAGGTGGTCTGCACGCCATGATGCTTTAATGAGCTTATGCGGGAGCTGTGATTATTTAAGTGCTTTAACGACAATTGAAGAAGCCGGTTCTAAAAAAGCAACGGTTCGCGTAGAGGCAGCTAGAATTAAACGACGCTTAAACCGTTCCGAATACGCCTTCATGTCGGTTTTTTGGGAAGTCATATTAGAGTGTTTCAATAAAACCAACAAAACTCTCCAAAGTGTCGATATCGATACTGGTGACGTCACTGGACTCTTTTTGTCTTTGATAAATTTTGTAAAATCTTTGCGAAATACTGCCATGTTTGAAATGTACCTCGACAAAGCCAAAGATATTATAGATGAAACGTATGACAATGACCGTCAAAGAAATCGGAGACGTAAACTTTTCCAAGATGAAAATAAGGATGGTGACACAATTTTGACAGGAAGGGAACAGCTAAAAGTTCAAACATATTTTACTATACTGGATAGGCTTACGATGGAACTGGGAAAAAGATTATTAAAAGAAACAGAAATAATAAAATACGAAAAATGCACGTTATCAAATATGCTCTCACACATTCGATCCTACAATTTGGAAGCAGTTTTCCCCAACGTTGAAATCGCCTTACGTATATTTGTCACTATGGCGGTCACAGTTTGTTCTGCGGAGCGTTCATTTTCAACCCTCAAACGCTTAAAAACCTATTTAAGATCTTCCATGGAACAAGACCGATTAAATGCATTGACAATTTTGACGATAGAATGTTATTTGACAACAAGCTTAGATTTTGATGGTATTATAAACTCGTTTGCTGCTATGAAATCCCGGCGAAAGCCTATGTAATATAATATGTATACCTATAGTGTTATAGCTGTGAAAATAAAATTCTGGTTTTATTGTTACTTTTATCATTTTACCTAGCCAACATGAGGGCGGCATTTTTTAACAGGCGTAGAGCGGAATATTGTTAAATCCGGCACTGAATAACAGTCAGATTTCAATTTGTTAAAACTTAACCAGTCAGCAATCGATTCAATTTTCAATATACGAAGTGATATTATAGTATATTGGGCAATCCAACAACCTATCAAAAAATAAATTCAGTATGGCGGCATAGTTCAAGCATCTGTCATCTGTGATGTGTGCTTGTTTATAGAATACTAACTGTTGGATGGATGTTAGCATCAGTCTTGCTAACTTCCGAATTTTGCATTCATAACTTCTTAAGATACGTACTTTTCATCTTAAAATACGAAAATTATCGTTCTCAAGCGATAGAAAATCACCTTAATACACCGCCAAATACACAGAAAACAGTTTAATGCTAACAAAACGTCACGGTTGTCTGGAGGTGAATGAAATCCTAATGGCGCCAATTTCACTGTTCGAGTTTAGTTCATTGGTTCGACCTAGGCCGCCATATTGTTTGGATTGTCCTATTGAACTTTCCCGGTAGGTCGCGTCATACGCAGGATCCGCTCGGTGTGTGCACTTTCTTTGACAGTTGACTTGTCAGCTGTCAAAAAAACTGCGCATTAGTTGCGAAAGTGCAATCGAAATCACCTTTAGAGTGGGATTTGTGATTTTTGTTAATTTAATCTCAGTGTGAAAATATCTGGAGCTACACTGAGAAAACTTCCAGCCAAAAATGCTTTACTATATAGTGTATTTTCAGCTATCATAGCAGAAATTTTAGCTGAAATTGCAAAACGATCCTATTTTAGTTGTAGGATGCACTTTACTATGTTAACATAAAGTCACTTTACTGTAACAGTAAAGTTTTTTTCTGCCACTAATAGTTTTTCCCTGATACAATAGAAACACTTATTATTAATAAGTATGTTTTCTACCGCGGCAAAGTGCATCCCTGGAACTATGAAAAAGTTTTTTTAATTATTGCTGGAAAGATTTTGGCTTCTTCAGCCAAAAGATTATCAACAAAATCCGTCAGGTGGTGAAGTGGGGGATGATTTGCGATCCACGAGGTTTCCCGACGCTAGCATCGCCCGGTAGTCCGTGGTAGACGTCAAACGTAGAAGGAAGCTTCTGCTGTCGGCTCGTGCAATTTTCTAATCAAGTCAATAAGGTGAAGTCGATCGAAATATTGAATTGTTTGTTTTTTTTTAGTTAGTGGGTGAATGTGGTAGGGTAGGTATACAACGGTATATAATGATGTATCTATTTAATATTTTTTATGAGCGTATTTTTATTCTCTTCAAGATATTCTAAAATAAAAAATGTTGGTTTTCTGTTTTTGTCCTAAACAAGATGGCGTAGCCTAATCCTTTTTTCGAATATTATTATAGGTATTTTTAATTGATCGAGGAGGCAGTGCATTCGTCACAGGACTTCTCCAAGTTTGTTTTGATTCAACCAACCTCCTATCTCATTACTGATCTCCCTATATAAAGGCTCTTGTATTATTGTATTTATTGTTTATGCTCCTTTATGGATTTAAGTTTTTTGATTTTTCATTATAAGAGTATTTTTTTCTTATAACGGGAATAACAATTTTCCATTTTTCTGTTCATATTTTATTTCTATAAAAAAATATTATTTTTTAATAAAATGTATGTATTGTTTAATTGTAGGTATTTGTGTTTTATTTTTACCTAATGAACATATTTACCCCACTAATGTCTGTTTGCACCGACCATTTTAAGGAAGCCTTTGCGAAAGTTTTCCTCAAAGTGACATTTCTCCACGAAAAAATGTCATTGGATACTTTTCGCTAAGGGGTCCTTAAAATGATGGGTGCAAACGGCCATAATCAACTTTTTAACCATGAGCAACTAACTGACTTTATTGTCACTGCAAAGTAATTTTATGGTCACACAATAGTTATTTGTTTTACTAGGCAGAAAAGTACAAGATTTAATGCCGCGGCTGGTGTTTCATAGCCGAAGCATAGCCGAGGCTAGAAAACCAGCCGAGGCATTAAATCTACTTTTCTGCCAAGTAAAACATATAATTTTTTCTCCGAATGTCCAAATTCACACATGGACATCTTTTTTATATTTATTTCATTCATTATTATTATCCAAATAATTAAATTATTTTGACAATTGTCATTGTCACCGTCAATTTCAAATACCAAATTGAGTGGAATTATTACCTGGAACGTTGTGACACTGTCACTTTTAATGCCTAGGCAGTAAAAGTCCACTTTTACTGCCTAGGCAGTAAAAATACAACTTTTGATCCTGTCAAGTGTCATTAAAAGGCCGCTTTTACTGTCATTCGGAGAAAAAAATACTTTATAGTAGCACCAAATTTACTTTGTAGCCACAATAAAGTTACTTTATTGTCATAAAAAAAACCGTATAGTCGTAGCAAAGTCACTTTATAGTCACATTAAAATTACTTTATTGTAACGACAAAGATATCCTTTATAGTCACAACAAAGGTACTTTACTGCCACGGGTAAGACGGTTCAATAAAGTTAACCCTATTACCACAGTTAAGAACTTGGCTGGAGCCTATTCTAAAAAAAAAATTAGCTGTGGTCGCTAAAAAATTGGCAAGGGACATAAGGTAGATTTCTCAGTGTACCAGCAAGTTTTACGGCGTATTTATTTTCAACAAAAATGGGTCAAGCGTGTGGTGTATGTGTTTTCTGTTTGAAAAAGGGCCGAAATGTCTGTTCTTTTGTTAATAGTACACTCGAAAAATGTAGAACAATCCTCAAAATTTGCCAGGATAACAATTTATCCATGATTGGAAAAAGCAATAAAAAGTATTTATACTTAATTTTCACTAATTTATTTACAGAAAATTAAGTATAAATACTTTTTATTGCTTTTTCCAACCATGGATAAATTCAATTTTCACCAAGTATCGGCTCAATCAATTCAATTTTTAACAATTTGTCGTTGAACTCTGTATATGTGCCATCATTTCCGGATGAAATTCATGGCTACCATGTAGTGTGCTACAGAAAGTTCACAGCGTTGGGCAAGAAATATCGAGATGCGTTGCAAGAGAATATGGTGTCGCAGACCAGGTACGTATGTTGTTCAATGGTCAATCATTATTGTTTATTTCTTTTGCCTATCAAAACTGAAGATGATGTTATGAATAGTAATGAGTAAGCCGAAACCACGAAGATATGAATTTATTATTTTTCTAATTGATATAGATTCTTAAATTTATTAATTTTTTATTATTTTTCTTTCATCTTTTCTCTTATTGCTTTTCACTCATATATTATATTAATTTGTATTTTTTTTTTTTTTACTTTCACTCATATATCTGTATTATATTGGAATTTTCATAATCTTTTTTTTTACATGCTTTTATTAATTTTTTCTTCTGGTTTATACATGTGTAGCTGCTACTAGGTGAGTGCCATCTTTTTTTTTTGATATATTGCATACTATTTTTTATTTTTATTTTTTCTCATTATTATGTCACATTTACGTATGTGTTTTTTGAATGCAAGGTCGCTTGTGCCACACTTTGCGGAGTTTAAGGATATTCTGAATCAAGGTGAATATGATATTGTAGGAATCTCTGAAACATGGCTAAAGCCAAGTATAT